CCCCTACCCACTCTGAAGCCTCCTTGCTCATCCGCAATTCTACATTCTGTCTTACCTCTAATTCTTTCAATTATAACCCTACCGTATACTTTTCCTGGTATACTCAGTAAACTTATTCCTCTATAATTTTTACAATCTCTTTTGTCCCTTTTCCCTTTATATAAAGGGACTATACATGCTCTCCGCCAATCCCTAGGTACCTTCCCCTCCTTCATACATTTATTAAACAAAAGTACCAACCACTCCAACACTATATCCCCCCCTGCTTTTAACATTTCTGTCATGATCCCATCAGTTCCAGCTGCTTTACCCCCTTTCATTCTATGTAATGCCTCACGTACCTCCACCACACTTACATTCTGCTCTTCTTCACTCCTAAAAGATGGTATACCTCCCTGGCCAGTGCATGAAATTACCGCCTCCCTTTCTTCCTCAGCATTTAAAAGTTCCTCAAAATATTCTCGCCATCTACCTAATACCTCCCTCTCCCCATCTACTAACTCCCCTACTCTGTTTTTAACTTACAAATCCATACTTTCCCTAGGCTTTCTTAACTTGTTTAACTCACTCCAAAATTTTTTCTTATTTTCATTAAAATTTCTTGACAGTGCCTCTCCCACTCTTTCATCTGCTCTCCTTTTGCACTCTCTCACCACTCTCTTCACCTTTCTTTTACTCTCCATATACTCTGCTCTTCTTATAACACTTCTGCTTTGTAAAAACCTCTCGTAAGCTACCTTTTTCTCTTTTATCACACCCTTTACTTCATCATTCCACCAATCACTCCTCTTTCCTCCTGCCAACAACTCCTGAACAACTTTTCTGGATTTACTAGACCTCTGTTATTTTTAACACAATTTCTTAAAAAACTACAATATTAATGTAATTTACACTACAGTATAGCCAGCCATATTTAAGGGAATTCTGCAACATGAATTTCTGGCCTACCGAAATTATAATTTTTCAGCATTAGAATTCAAAACTACAACAGAATTGTTTTTAAAACATGATCAATGAATTTACAAAAACTAGTATGCTTTATCAACTAATCTATCTCATGTAACTTTAAGGAAATATAGATGTACTTGAAATAGGGGTCTAAAGTCCCATATACAGAAAATCTACATATAGGAACCAAAATGACCTCAGTCTGCATTTTATGTATACAATAGGTAGTAGGATGGTAAACAGCAACCGCCCAGGGAGGTGCTACCGTCCTGCCAAGTGAGTGTAAAACGGAATCCTGTAATTGTTTCACATGATGGTAGGATTGCTGGTGTTTTTTTTCTGTCTCTTAAACATGCAAGATTTCAGTTATGTCTTGCTACTTCTACTTACACTTAGGTCACACTACACATACATGTTTTTTTTTTTTGTTTTTTTTTTTTTCAACAAGTCGGCCGTCTCCCACCAAGGCAGGGTGACCCAAAAAAGAAAGAAAATCCCCAAAAAGAAAATACTTTCAATATCATTCAACACTTTCACCACACTCGCACATTATCACTGTTTTTGCAGAGGTGCTCAGAATACAACAGTTTAGAAGCATACACATATAAAGATACACAACATATCCCTCCAAACTGCAAATATCCCAAACCCCTCCTTTAAAGTGTAGGCATTGTACTTCCCATTTCCAGGACTCAAGTCCGACTATATGAAAATAACCGGTTTCCCTGAATCCCTTCACTAAATATTACCCTGCTCACACTCCAACAGATCGTCAGGTCCCAAGTACCATTCATCTCCATTCACTCCTATCTAATACGCTCACACACGCTTGCTGGAAGTCCAAGCCCCTTGCGCACAAAACCTCCTTTACCCCCTCTCTCCAACCGTTTCGAGGACGACCCCTACCCCGCCTTCCTTCCCCTGTAGATTTATATGCTTTCCATGTCATTCTACTTTGATCCATTCTCTCTAAATGACCAAACCACCTCAACAACCCCTCTTCTACCCTCTGACTAATACTTTTATTAACTCCACACCTTTTCCTAATTTCCACACTCCGAATTTTCTGCATAATATTTACACCACACATTGCCCTTAAACAGGACATCTCCACTGCCTCCAACCGTCTCCTCGCTGCTGCATTTACCACCCAAGCTTCACACCCATATAAGAGTGTTGGTACTACTATACTTTCCTACATTCCCTTCTTTGCCTCCATAGATAACGTTTTTTGACTCCACATATACCTCAATGCACCACTCACCTTTTTTCCCTCATCAATTCTATGATTAACCTCATCCTTCATAAATCCATCCGCCGACACGTCAACTCCCAAGTATCTGAAAACATTCACTTCTTCCATACTCCTCCTCCCCAATTTGATATCCAATTTTTCTTTATCTAAATCATTTGACACCCTCATCACCTTACTCTTTTCTATGTTCACTTTCAACTTTCTACCTTTGACACACATTCCCAAACTCATCCACTAACCTTTGCAATTTTTCTTTAGAATCTCCCATAAGCACAGTATCATCAGCAAAAAGTAACTGTGTCAATTCCCATTTTGAATTTGATTCCCAAAAATTTAATCCCACCCCTCTCCCGAACACCCTAGCATTTACTTCCTTTACAACCCCATCTATAAATATATTAAACAACCATGGTGACATTACACATCCCTGTCTAAGCCTTACTTTTACCGGGAAGTAGTCTCCCTCTCTTCTACACACCCTAACCTGAGCCTCACTATCCTCATAAAAACTCTTTACAGCATTTAATAACTTACCACCTATTCCATATACTTGCAACATCTGCCACATTGCTCCTCTATCCACTCTATCATATGCCTTTTCTAAATCCATAAATGCAATAAAAACTTCCCTACCTTTATCTAAATACTGTTCACATACATGCTTCAATGTAAACACTTGATCTACACATCCCCTACCCACTCTGAAACCTCCTTGTTCATCCGCAATCCTACATTCTGTCTTACCTCTAATTCTTTCAATTATAACCCTACCGTACACTTTTCCTGGTATACTCAGTAAACTTATTCCTCTATAATTTTTACAGTCTCTTTTGTCCCCTTTCCCTTTATATAAAGGGACTATTCATGCTCTCCGCCAATCCCTAGGTACCTTCCCCTCTTTCATACATTTATTAAACAAAAGTACCAACCACTCCAACACTATATCCCCCCCTGCTTTTAACATTTCTGTCATGATCCCATTAGTTCCAGCTGCTTTACCCCCTTTCATTTTATGTAATGCCTCACATACCTCCCCCACACTTACATTCTGGTCTTCTTCACTCCTAAAAGATGGTATACCTCCCTGACCAGTGCATACATATACATGTACAAGCGCATATATATACACATCCCTCTGGGTTTTCTTCTATTTTCTTTCTAGTTCTTGTTCTTGTTTATTTCCTCTTATCACCATGGGGAAATGGAACAGAATTCTTCCTCCGTAAGCCATGAGTGTTGTAAGAGGCGACTAAAATGCTGGGAGCAAGGGCCTAGTAACCCCTTCTCCTGTATAAATTACTATATTTAACCCTTGAACGGTCCAGGCAGATCTACGTTCACATGTGTAGTGCTCCAAAAGTAGTTCTAGGTTTTTTTTTACATATTTTCAAATACAGTGGACCCCCGGTTCGTGATGCTATCGGTATCCGATAAATCCGGTAACCGATGCATTATATCGCAGAAAATTTGCCTTGCTTCCCAATACAAAACCCGGTATGCGATGTGGTTCGTATGAGACGTGTCCATGTGTGGCCTGAACTGCCCCATGTGTGCCAGTGTTTACAAGCCAGCCAGTGTGCGCGCATCTAAGGATACATTCGGTACATTCCATATTATCCATATTATCACTGTTTTTGGTGCCTGTTTTTGCAAAATAAGTCACCATGGGCCCCAAGAAAGCTCCCAGTGCCAACCCTTCGAGACCAAGGGTGCTAATGACTGTTGAAATGAAGAAAGTACAAAAGTGGAGTGCGTGTGTCGGAGCTGGTCAGGTTGTATAGTAAACCCCAATCAACATCTCTACTATAGTGAGCAAGAAAACAGCAATCAAGGAAGCTGTTCTTGCAAAAGGTGCAACTGTGATTACGAAACAGCGACCGCAAGTGTTAGAAAATGTTGAGAGACTGTTATTGGTGTGGATAAATGAAAAACAGATAGCAGGAGATAGCATCTCTCAAGCAATCATTTGTGAAAAGGCTAGGCAGTTGTATGACGATTTGGTAAAAAAAAATTGCCTGCAACTAGTGGTGATGTGAGTGAATTTAAGGCCAGCAAAGGTTGGTTTGAAAGATTTAAGAATTGTAGTGGTAGACATAGTGTGATTAGGCATGGTGAGGCTGCCAGTTATGTTATGCAACAGAAGTCCAGTGACTCTCAACCTGGTCCTAGTGGCATTAAAAGAAGAAGGGAAGTAACCCCGGAAAAGGACTTGCTACCTCAAGTCCTAATGGAGGGGGATTCCCTTTCTAAATGCTAACACCATCCACACTCTCCCCTCCTCCCATCCCATCAATGATCACCAGATCTTCATTAAAGGTAAGTGTCAATTATTCTTTCGTTATTTATTGTTATTTATTGTTATTGTTGTTATTGTAATTACTATTCTATTGCATTAAACTTAATATTTCATGTGGTAAAAGTTTTTTTTTTTCATACTTTTGAGTGTCTTGCACGGGTTAATTTGATTTCCATTATTTCTTATGGGGAAAATTGATTCGCTTTCCGATATTTTTGGTTTACGATGAGCTCTCAGGAACGGATTAGTATCGCAAACCGGGGGTCCACTGTATAACAAAAAAAAAAGTAGATCAAAGTTTTTTACACATTTTCAAATGTAAAAAAAAAAGATCTACTTTTTTATATACTTTCAAATGTTGAAAAAACGTATATATACGTTTGGAGCGTTTATGGGTTAAAAAGAGAAACTTTCGTTTTTCTTTTTGGGCCACCCTACCTTGGTGGGATACTGCCGGTTTGTTCAAAAAAAAAAAATTATTAAAACACCAATAATACATACTGTTTCCATGGTATCAATTTTCCAGATTTTAATAGATCCATCAAAAGAAGCAGTAGCCAGTAGATCACTATCCTCAGGCTTAAAGCTGCAGTCAAATATTGTTTCGGTGTGACCCTGTAAATAATGCTGAAATTACATTTTTTGTGAATGTATTATCAATGAAACAATGTTTAATTTATAATACAATATATTACTTGCAGAAGATTTTGTAAACAGTATATGAGATATTTACTGAATTATGTACAGTGAATAAGCATTTTTTATAAAGGCAACCACAATTTAAGAAAATGCAAGCAGAAATAAAATGCTTACATCTGTGATGGGTAAAGGTTTATTAACTTACATGTTCTCGATTAAAGATCCACTGTTTTCTTCTCAGGTGGTACAGACCAACGCCTCCATCTTTAAACAATGTAACAACTGCCACATTAGGGATCATGAGTCCCTTCCTCTCACCAGACAGATCATTAGTTTGGTCTTGATGAACGTTTCGAGGAGCATTTACATTTAAAACTCGTGTAACACAAAGAACATGAAAGCCTGTGTTTTTTAAAACATTATTTTCTACAGGTGTTGATTTACTGACTGTCCAAACACGCAGAATGCCTTTTTCAGCATCTGAAAGATTGACAAACTTTTTTCAACATAACTTGGAATCTCAAACTGAATCACAAAAAGGCAAAACCCTTTGGTGGGGGGTGAGCATGGAAGCTGGGATAGATGAAAAATAGGTTTGGTGAGTGGAGTTTTTTTTTTTTTTTTTAGGAGTGGTTTAAGGGCGAGAAAAAGTGCCAGGGTTTGACCAAGTTGCTGGGCAAAATACAAATTATGGCAAAAATGTTAGGAACTGATTTGAGCAGGAAGTGCAGGTGGTTGGGTTGACACCAATGCCCAGAAACTAATGGTACTCTCGTCAGGATTGCTGGGGCCAGTAAGACTTCAAAATAAAATTTTCCCTATTAATATATTTAGCATGTCTAAACAGTTTTATATCTACAAATCAAATGCATGTTTTTCTATATATAAAGCATGGAAAAGCAAGCATATTCTTTTCCAACCATATTAACCCTTAAACTGTCCAAGCAGATCTACGTTCATATGTGTAGTGCTCCAAAAGCAGATCTACATTTTTTATATATTTTCAAATATAACAAAAAAAAAAAACGTAGATCAAAGATTTTTTACACATCAATATCATTTAAAAAAAAAAAGATCTACTTTTTTTACATACTTTCAAATGTTGAAAAAACGTAGATCTACGTTTGGACAGTTTAAGGGTTAATTAAAACATTTGTAAAACTGTGTTAAGTATACAGAGAGATTCAACTAAAGAGTACAAATGAAACTTACTACTGTCATTACATTTACAGCAAATATTGCCATACATACATGTCATATATGATCAATGCACTTAAGTTTTTTCTTTTATTTTAACAAACATACCTCCAGTAACAAACATTCCTGGAGCATCGGGAAGCCACGCCAAAGTATTCACACTTGCTGAGATTGGCATGATATACTTGGTGATTATTCTCATGCTGTTAACATCAACTAACCAAAGAGCACCTCCTCTGTATGCCACCAAGATGTAGTCTGGTGAGCAAGTATCCCACTCAAGAGTAACGAGAGTGTGGTCCTCATTGTCCTCTCCACCCTCAGGAAAGGCAGAGTAACGTGTCTTCCCAACATCTACAATTATTTTTTCCAAATTAACATCTTCAAGCAATTATCTGGGTAATCATTAATATTTAATTTATTAAAACCTAATCCTATATTAAAGTCATCAATATGGGCTCACATGCATACACTAGTAAAATTTTAAGTTTATTTCTTTACAAACACCCGAGTACAAACTTAACCAATTAATCTGACATTTAACCGAGTTCTTAAATTTGATACCTTCATGTACAGTGAACCCTAACCTATCTAGAGAAAACAATTTCCTGGTTGTAGTATCACTTATAACCCTCTGTGATGTTAGAGAGAAATGGTATAAAATACTGGCAAGATAGATAAAGACAAATGCAGTAAATTGCAATCCCTTATTAACAATGTTTTGCCCACACAGTGGGCTTAATCAAGTCACAAACAGATCTACCCGAGTGTTACTGATGCCCAGGTATATCTGTTGACAGAGCATTAACCAGTAATCCGAGGACCACTAGATCACGGGCCTGAATCCCATTACTCCTATGAATTGTTGCATTTGTTTGTTATGAATTTTAACTCAAGTGTGAAAATTACATTTATACTACCCCATGCAATTCTGTATGTAAAGGTTTCATTATATGGGTTGAAGCAACCTGTTCTAAATTCCTGGTGGGAAAAATTATAGCCTGCTGTGATCAATATCTTTCATGGTTTTCCCACACTAAAGAGTCAGGAGAAAGGTATGAGTGATTGTGGATATGGTATGGAAAGTGAGTGGAGAAGGCTTTAAGAATATGGAGGAAGCAGACATACTCAAACTGTTGAAAGAGGAAGACATATAACAAACATAACAAACTGTAGAACAATTAACAGAAATGATAAATTTCTAGAAAAAGTTGAGAAACTAGTGTATGAGAATATTACTAGTGATTTTACCAAAGCAGATCCTAACATCAATAAAAGATTTAAATTAAGCTGGGTTCAGAACCACTTGACTGCCATATCATGAGCTCCATATATCAATACAGGGTAACACAATACTGAGATGTACTATAGAATACAATATCACTGACAGATAACAATCATGTACTGAACTATTCATCAACATTTACGCCAGAAACACAACCTTCCATCTGGATTCCGTAAGTCAACATTATCACTGCTCTACAAGATGTTCAAGTGTTGGAACTGAGAACTGCCAGAATGAAAAGTAACTTGTATATGATATTACTATATTACAATGTATAGAAACAAAAATTTGGGAAAGGGGGACAGGATTAACTTTCTTAGATTTTTGGAACTTCACATGAACTTCTGTATTTTCCATACTGCTCATATTCCAGGTTATCATGTTATAATGTGATTTACAGGAATACAGTTTCTACAATATGTAAGGGTTTACTGTACATGTATATTATATCAATAGTTCATGTTTTTAAATGTAAATAATACTACATTAAAAAATTGTTTCTTAAACTGCTGATACTAAGAGTATTTGTTTTTAAGAATCACCTACATGTATTTAAATATTTTTTTATTTATTATCACACTGGCCGATTCCCACCAAGGCAGGGTGGCCCGAAAAAGAAAAACTTTCACCATCATTCACTCCATCACTGTCTTGCCAGAAGGGTGCTTTACACTACAGTTTTTAAACTGCAACATTAACACCCCTCCTTCAGAGTGCAGGCACTGTACTTCCCATCTCCAGGACTCAAGTCCGGCCTGCCGGTTTCCCTGAATCCCTTCATAAATGTTACTTTGCTCACACTCCAATAGCACGTCAAGTATTAAAAACCATTTGTCTCCATTCACTCCTATCAAACACGCTCACGCATGCCTGCTGGAAGTCCAAGCCCCTCGCACACAAAACCTCCTTTACCCCCTCCCTCCAACCCTTCCTAGGCCGACCCCTACCCCGCCTTCCTTCCACTACAGACTGATACACTCTTGAAGTCATTCTGTTTCGCTCCATTCTCTCTACATGTCCGAACCACCTCAACAACCCTTCCTCAGCCCTCTGGACAACAGTTTTGGTAATCCCGCACCTCCTCCTAACTTCCAAACTATGAATTCTCTGCATTATATTCACACCACACATTGCCCTCAGACATGACATCTCCACTGCCTCCAGCCTTCTCCTCACTGCAACATTCATCACCCACGCTTCACACCCATATAAGAGCGTTGGTAAAACTATACTCTCATACATTCCCCTCTTTGCCTCCAAGGACAAAGTTCTTTGTCTCCACAGACTCCTAAGTGCACCACTCACTCTTTTTCCCTCATCAATTCTATGATTCACCTCATCTTTCATAGACCCATCCGCTGACACGTCCACTCCCAACTATCTGAATACGTTCACCTCCTCCATACTCTCTCCCTCCAATCTGATATTCAATCTTTCAATGATGTATTTAAATGTTTTCCATAAAAGAACATTAACAAGAACATACTCAGAAAATATAAAACTTAAAGACTGGCTGTCCATTGGCTGTTCACAAATGTGATGCAGAGTTGCTTCACAAACTTTTCCCTGGATATTGTGCACTCCAGGTAAAAGTTAAGGCAATTACATTTGTCTTCATAAGTTACGTGTAACTAGCACCGAGTCACAACTGGGCATCGACATTAATTAATCTTTAAAAGTGTGAAATAACTTTAAAAATGCTAACTGTTTGTAATGTTATCCTCCATGGAATGATGCACAGGTGCTTAATTAGAAACAAAGTAGGTAAAGTGAATACTTTAATTTACTGAACTTTCTCTTCCAGTGAGTGAAGTAAGCAACAAGGCAAAGAAAATCTTAATGAGTGCATGCATTTTTTTTTTTTTGCTTTAATCCACTATTATTGAGAATTACCAAACAAAAATATAGTATCAAATCTAATTAAATAATAATATGTTTTTGAGTGTCCCTTTTCAAGTCCAATAACAGCAGCTCTATGTCAGAAAGACACACAAATGATGGTTTAAACATGCACAAATTAAAGGTGCTAATACATTCACTCTTCAATCTACCCTTTTAAAATCATGTATTCACTTATCTCTTCATCAGAGCCATGTTCAAATGGGAAAGCAGAAAGAAGAATTCTCTCTCACCTGAGGTAAGAAAACATGGTTAAAACTCATGTAAATACAATTCATGAGAGGTGTGGAGGGGAAGAGGGGTATGGAAGGAACAATACCCTGCAGTATTTATATTTCTCCTTTTGTAATTTATATTTTATAATTTCCAATTATTTTTCATTCATTATAGTCCTGCACATCCTTTTTACATTCCATTCCATAAAAGCTACTAAAACTATCCAATACTTGTGCTGTGTCCATTAGTCTCCTAAAGATTCTCCAGTAGTATTTGGTCTGCTGACATCCTGACATGTTTTCAACATGACTCACGAAATCGTAATGACACGATTGCAAACAAACCATACCACGGGCGGGATTTGAACCCACGGTCAGAGAGTCTCAAAACTCCAGACCGTCGCATTAGCCACTGGACCAGCTAGCCACAATAAGATTCATCCAACTAGGTATATTTCTACACCATAGGAAGGTTAGCATAGGCACCACTGTGACCACCAGGGCAGGGTGACCTAAAAAGAAAAACAAAAGTTTCTCTTTTTAAACTTAGTAATGTATACAAGAGAAGGGTTACTAGCCCCTTGCTCCCAGAAATTTAGTTGCTTCTTACGACACACATGGCTTACAGAGAAAGAACTGTGTTCCACTTCCCCATGGAGAAAAGAAGAAATAAATAAGAACAAAAACTAGCAAGAAAATAGAAGAAAACCCAGAGTGTGTATATATATGCTTGTACTACTATATAGAAAACCACTTGTTATGCAGAGCATTTCAGGCAAATTAGATCAGTTTTGTCCCAGGATGCGACCCACACCAGTAAACTAACACCCAAGAACCCCTTTTACTGATAGGGAACATAGACAACTGGTGTAAGGAAACACGCCCAATGTTCCCACTCTAGCTGAAATTGAACCCAGACCCTCGTCATGTGAAGCGAGAGCTTTAGCCACCAGGCCATGGGGCACCTGCAAGATTTTAGGTAAGTTGCCATTAGGGCAACCTACCTAAAATCTTGCAGGTTTATGAGACAGAAAAAAAGATATCAGCACTCCTACCATCATGTAAAACAATTCCAGGCTTCCATTTTACACTCACTTGACAGGACGGTAGTACCTCACTAGGCGGTTGCTGTCTACCAGCCTACTACCTACGTCCTTAACATATATACTTGCAAACAGTAAACAACGATCCTACTGGCTTTAATGGGGAACTATTTCCAACTTCTTTCAGTCTTAAATACATTAGAATTTGCATAAAATTAATAGATATAAGCACTAACAAATGCCTGAGCATCCAAAGCCTATATTTACTACATAATAAACATAGTTGCAAATGACATAGAAACCCTGTGAAAAATACGTACAGTACTAATAAAAATGTCTACATTCATAATATAACAAATGAATAAATTGATTAAATGGAGTGAGAAATGGGTGAGGGCATTTATTGTAGACAATTGTTATGTAATGGAAACTGAAGAAAGTGAAAATGCTGTGAAAATACTAAAGGTATCAGCCAAAGAAAGTGATCTAGTAGTGACTATCAACAACACTATGCAACACTGGCTAACTTTAGGCATATGGATAGGGAAATGCAAAAAAAAAGATGCTCACAACATACATTATGCCAAAAGTGAAATATGCAGTGGAAGTATGATAACCAGACAAAACAAGATTCATAAAGTAGAAAGATGTCAAAGACAAACTATGAAAATGATCTGTGAGCTAAGAACATGGGCCATGGAGGAAGGCCATCTTTAAAAAGAAAAAAGGAGACAAGATATCCATATTCAGAATTAGGAATGCTTCCTAACACCAACAAGTGGCAAAACAATAAGCAATAACCACAATCTAAGGAAGAAGAGCTGCTGAAAGTTTTTGTTTATAAACTAAATGATAAAAGAATAGAATGGTTTACCAGAGAAGGAAGTAAGTGCTACAGCCATTGGAAGCTTTAAAAAGATTTGCAGTACACCAAATAATGAAGATGGGACATCATGAGCTTAACTTTGCTCCCATAGCTAGAAATAGGTAATCACATGCATACACACCATAAAACAAAGTTCAAACCACATTCATACTGTACTTGATGTAGACTAATACTATACAGTATAAAATTGCACAGGTGCCAGATATCAAAAGAATAACATTCCCATTATATACATGACTTATCAAAGGCCATATTAATTTACCTGAAGTAAAAAAATTGCAACAAGAATTGTTATTGATGCTGCTTGTTGTATCAAGTATTGTGGATGCCCAGTGCCAAACAGTAGCATCTGCGACAGAGAGTATACTTCCAGATAACAATAAACAGTCCAGTTTTCCTTAGAAATTTTATTTTTATACACAAATAACATAGCTGTTGTAAGTCTACAAAAAAAAGTCTAGTTTAAATAAGTAAGCAGCTTTACTTAATGTGCCATCAAATATGCCAGTCAAGCTCCTTTTTTTACATTCTTTTGTATGTATATGTCAGCCTGTAGAAGTATGGTACAACCAAAAAACTCTTACACAGAGACAACACTTGGCAAAAAATAGATTACCTTACATCCTGGAATGACATTATTCTAATCAATATCTTCAGTAATTTTACTTAACTAAATTACCACTCATAAAACAATTGCAGTGCTTTAACATAAAGCTTTCTTCCAGTTTTGGTGCTTCCAGTAATTAACCCTTTCAGGATCTGTGCCATAGATCTACAGCTTTACGTTGAGGGTCCAAACCATAGATCTACTCTCAGTAGTATCAGTTCCCAGTAGTACCAGTAACCAGTTACCAGTAGTATGACTCACTACCAACCGTTTGTGTGAATCACTGTTATTCACCGATGTTACAACTGACCATAGCTGTTTTTGAATGCCGCTCACCTCTAGGACCCAATTCGTGAGTCAGTCTTAAGATAGAGAGCAGAGAGGCAGGGCGGGCCTGTGCTTCCCATATATTCCGTTATAATTATACGTACTACTAACCAGCCAACGTTAGTGTTATTACCCAATCCATGTTATCGAACCCCCACATGACAATATACCATGAGCTCAGCTCACTCTGATAAGCTGTGAGCAGTAAATTTGGGCCTAGATATGAGAGAATACATCTATGTGGTATGTGTGCACCACATAAAACAAATCCTGCAGCACAGTGCATAATGAGAGAAAAAAATGAGACAGTAATTTTCGATTAAAACAGCGACTTTCCAGTGTTTTTTCGTATGTTTTTTTGAGTTGTATTTGTGATTTCTTGGTCTCATTGATAGAATGGAAGATATATTATAGAAATAGAGATGATTCTGATTGACTTTAGTACTGAAAATGGCTTGAAACTAAGCTCAAAGTAGCAGAAATGTTAAATTTTTGTCGATGTTCTAGAGTAAACAAATGACCTCACACGTCTAATACACTGGCGGGTCTAATATACATTCACAAATGTGGTGATATTATTTATACAATTATTACAATATTGCATAACAGTAAATCTTCTATTTTTTGGTATGAATAAAAATTCATTATGTGAATAAAAAAATCAAAATGGAATTCATTTGTAAAACCTGAAAATGTAACTAATGAACAGAGGAAATGTTAGTTTAGTGCCAGGAATGCTTGCATTGTTTATTCTGGACCCTATTTTGAAACCGGAATATTTTGAACTTTGCATTAAATTGGCCAAATTACCAATTTCCAATCACTTTATTTTGTAGTTGAATCAGTTGACTTGGTGATTTCTTGTGCTCAATTGATAGAATAGAAGTAATACTAGTGAAATAGCTAAGAATTTGGTCAACTGGAATAATGTAATTGGCCTAAAATGGGAGTCAAAGTCAGCAAAATCGCTGATGCGTAAATATCGGTGACACATCAAAATTCGCGAGAGCATAACTTCGTCAATTTTCCATCAAATTTCATACTTTTTGTTTTATTACCTTCAGAAAAAGATTCTCTACTATTTCATAAGAAAACATAAAATTATTTTTTGAAAATTCTCAGACCCTGGTGCACACTATGAAATTTGTCCTCTGGACCCTGAAAGGGTTAAGTAAATAAAAGTTACAAAAGCACTAACAAATACCTGAGCATCCAAAGCCTATATTTTCACCCTGATAATATAGTATGCTGCACAACAGTTTATGATGTACAATATAGTGGCATTAAAAAACTGATAAGGTGTGACAGACTGCATGAGGGTGAAGTTCATTTCTGAAGGAAAAGGCTAACGAGAGAAATTTCTTTCAACAAAAATTCTGTTTGTAGTTCTTTCCTGAGTAATGTCCTCTATTAAATAATTTATTAAAGCTTATAAAAATATAATAACAGCTTACCTTCCCTGTACACAGTAAGCTTTCCATCTTCATGGCCAATAACCAATCTTCCAGAAACGGTTGGATGCCAACGATAAATAACAATTCCATTTGTATAGCCGTAGTCCTCACGGATAGGGTAAGGTTCACTGTTATCAGTATAGTCCCACAACTGTATTGGGCCACTTTGAGTAGAAAATGACAGAAGATCCCTGAATATAAGAAAATACAGTTACAGTATTTGCATTCAGTGCTGTATTATAGTATAACATTTATTATCCACACAAACCCATTAACCCTTTGGTTGTCTCAACCCCAGATCCTGAAGTGTCTGCTAGTGTCGAAGAATATTAAAAAAAAAAAAAATATTTTTCTTATGAAAATGTTAAGACTAATATTCTAATTGTTTTAAGCCCCCAAAACAAATTTTTGCGATCAGTACTTATGGAGATATAGAGGAGTAAAGTTGGCAGAAAATGAGCCACATATGGCAACAGCTGCAAATGCAAACTTTGGTTTACTTGCATTCCAAGGTTTCTTGTTTTTTCACAATTTTATTTTTTCGCATAACTTATGTGGCCTGTGAGTCTAAAGTAAGGTGCAATGTATAATATATACACTCGTTGTATACTACACAATAAGTGCACAAACATAATTATCAATATATTGTTTACAAAACTTGTTAACACAAACAATACAAAAAATTTCTTGTTCCTATTGTTCTATAACATATATATACAAATGTACAGTCACTGGACATGTTCCTTGAAATTCTGCAGCTTGTGGAACTCTCTGAAATATGGTTTCATACACAATGGTGTTTTACACTCCTCACACATAAAATGAGTGTGTCCGCATTTTTGTGGGCTTTTTTTTTTATGTGCACAAACAAAACACCTCTCTGAGCAGTTTTCTTCATAGTAGTAGTAGACAACTGTGTTAGGTAGTTATCCAAGGTAAATGTGTTATCATTCCTTCCTACCTACCTACCTTTCTTTCTTCATTCTTTCCTTCTTTTTTCTGGTTTCTATAATATATATATATACATATCTTCTTCTTTCTTTCAACACACCGGCCGTATCCCACTGAGGTGGGGTGGCCCAAAAGGAAAATCAAAAGTTTCTCCTTTTACATTAAGTAATATATACAGGAGAAGGGGTTACTAACCCCTTGCTCCCGGCATTTTAGTCGCCTCTTACAACACGCATGGCTTACGGAAGAAGAATTCTGTTCCACTTCCCTATGGAGATAAGAGGAAATGAACAAGAACAAGAATTAGAAAGAAAATAGCAGAAAACTCAGAGAGGTGTGTGTATATATATGCTTGTACATGTATGTGTAGTGTGGCCTAAGTGTAAGTAGAAGTAGCAAGACGTACCTGAAATCTTGCATGTTTATGAGACAGAAAAAAGGACACCAGCAATCCTACCATCATGTAAAACAATTACAGGCTTTCATTTTACACTCATTTGGCAGGGCGGTAGTACCTCCCTGGGTGGCTGCTGTCTACCAACTTACTATACATATATATTATATAATCATAGAATTGATGAGGGGAAAAGGGTGAGCGGTGCACTTAGGAGTCTGTGGAGACAAAGAACTTTGTCCTTGGAGGCAAAGAGGGGAATGTATGAGAGTATAGTTTTACCAACGCTCTTATATGGGTGTGAAGCATGGGTGATGAATGTTGCAGCAAGGAGAAGGCTGGAGGCAGTGGAGATGTCATGTCTGAGGGCAATGTGTGGTGTGAATATAATGCAGAGAATTCATAGTTTGGAAGTTAGGAGGAGGTGCGGGATTACCAAAACTGTTGTCCAGAGGGCTGAGGAAGGGTTGTTGAGGTGGTTTGGACATGTAGAGAGAATGGAGCGAAACAGAATGACTTCAAGAGTGTATCAATCTGTAGTGGAAGGAAGGCGGGGTAGGGGTCGGCCTAGGAAAGGTTGGAGGGAGGGAGGGGGTAAAGGAGGTTTTGTGTGCGAGGGGCTTGGACTTCCAGCAGGCATGCGTGAGCGTGTTTGATAGGAGTTGTATGGAGACAAATGGTTTTTAATACTTGACGTGCTGTTGGAGTGTGAGCAAAGTAACATTTATAAAGGAATTCAGGGAAACTGGCAGGCTGGACTTGAGTCCTGGGGATGGGAAGTACAGTGCCTGCACTCTGAAGGAGGGGTGTTAATGTTGCAGTTTAAAAACTGTAGTGTAAAGCACCCTTCTGGCAAGACAGTGATGGAGTGAATGATGGTGAAAGTTTTTCTTTTTTCGGGCCACCCTGCTTTGGTGGGAATCGGCCAGTGTGTTAATAAATAATAAATAAAATATATTGTCACTGGACACTTTCATTGTGTTGTGTGTGAGTGTGTGTGGACTTCTAAATGTGCTGAGTTAGGGTCTAGCAGCTGTCAAAATGACATACTGTATCATTACTCACTCCCCCTACCGCCTGTCAAAACAATGGGGTCCGATGCTTGCTTCCTCTCTATCCTCCTACCTAATTATCTTTCTTTCTTCTTTCTCCTTCTTTCTATTTCCTTCTCTTTCATTCTCTCTCATTCTCTTTCATTCTCCTTCATTCTCCTTCATTTTCCTTCATTCTCCTTCATTCACCTCCTTTCTCTTTCTTCTGGTATCCTGGGCATTGCTTTTGGTCACAAACTCCTCAAAACCATGAAATTGATCTTCACTGACACTTCCATCTGTGTTAGAGTGATCACTTGGGAAGAGAAGAGTCCCAGATTTGCTGGGGAGTCACATATTTCTTACCACTAGGCATGCTGAACAAGGACTACTGAAATGGCAGTCCCACAATGCACCACTGGCTCCCCAATTTTTTTTATATGGCACACACTGACCATGGAGACCCATTCTCTCATATGTGGATCTACCAGCTTCCTCCTGCTTGATTTGAAGCCGCTAGAATTTTGACGTATTAATACGTCAAACAAATTGGCTCGTAAGACGTACATTTACAACCAACACAGTCAAAGGGTTAATAACTTTATACATATAGTTTAGATTAGTTAATGACTGAATACACCCACCAAGGTCTATGTAGCAAAGAGCTGCAGGTAATATGCCCGAAATGGTCTGCATAACCACAGGTTTTCTATGTCCAATATTAAATGTTATCCATTTTTGTACAAACAATATACAGTGGAACCTTGGCTTATGAATTTAATCTGTTCCATGACCTCGTTCATATTCCAATTTGTTCGAATGCTGAGTCAATTTTCATTTAAATTAATTGAAATGGCATTAATCCGTTCCAGCAGAATTCCTGCTCTTAGGAGGCGCAACAAAATACTACTTCAATATGATGCTAATATCAACTCACCATCACTCAAGGAATGCACAACAGATGCATCATTGTCAGTGTTCAGCATTTCTTCAATGTCAGCTTCCTGTAACTCCATTAGCACACAGTCAAGATGAGTAAATAGAATTGTCAATGCTTATTGCTTGGGTATGTTTATTCTGTTAGTGGGTTGGATCTGTGAAGGACCTGCCTAGTATGGGCCAACAGGCCTACTGCAGTGTTCTTCCTTTCTAATGTGCCCACGACACCAATCATACCCAGCCCCTCCCACTCATATATTTGTCCAATATCTTTTTAAAGCTACCCAAGGTTCTATCGAGGCTAAAACCTTGGGTAGTTTCAAATTTTGGTTGGATAAATACATGAGCGAGAGGGGTTGGATTTGACTGGGACTTGCACATGAGTGAGAGGGGTTGGATTTGAGTGGGACTTGCACATGAGTAAATAGGATTATTGAAGCTTATTGCTTGGGTAGCATTTATTCTGTTAGTGGGCTGGATTTGTGAAGGACCTGCCAAGTATGAGCCAGCAGGCCTGCTTCAGTGTTCCTCCTTTCTTTTGTTATTATACTGATGAGTGGAACACTCTGCCTAGTATGGTTATTGAGGCTGAAACCTTGGGTAGTTTCAAATTTGTGTTGGATAATTACATGAGTGAGAGGGGTTGGATGTGAGTGGGGCCTGCACATGAGTAAATAGAATTATCAAAGTTTATTGCTTGGGAACCTCCCTTGAGGGGGAAGTTCGCATCCTGAAATTTCATTTGTATCCAGAAGCAAAAAATCGATCGAATGACTGTTCATATCCCAAAAAATTCGCACAGTGGGACATTCGTAAGCCGAGGTTCCACTGTACCATGTGGAATAAAGAATGTGGCTTTGAATTTGAATTTAAACTGTGGAAAACCCAGAAATAAAATGTGCTGATGGTGAGGTACAAATTTAAAAAAATAAAAAAAAGAGCATGTTTTTCCGAGTAAAATAAGACCAAGAAAAATGAAGTCCAATAATAACTTATTGTTTTAAAGGCATGATGAACTTTTTAAGAAATAGCATGCTGTCAATATCACCTCAATGCTACCAAGGATTATGTATGATTTTAGTTTCTAAGGCAAAATAACCAGTTTTCTCATTAGGTATTTTCTTTTCAATACTTAACATTTTTTTTAACATGTCAGCCATTTCCCACTCAGGCAGGGTGACCCAAAAGAAAGAAAATCCCAAAAAGAAAGAAAAAACTTTCATTATCCTTCAACACATTCACCATCACTCACACATAATCACTGTCTCTGCAGAAGAGCCCAGATACGACAGTTTAGTCACTCCAAACTGCCAATATCCCAAACCCCTCCTTTAAAGTGAAGGCATTGTACTTCCCATTTCCAGGACTCAAGTCCGGCTAGCCGCTTTCCCTGATTCCCTTCACAAAATATTACACTGCTCACACTGCAACAGCTCGTCAGATCCCAAAAACCATTCATCTCCATTCACCCCTATCAGAAATTCTAGGAACAAAAAAGATATCACGAAATAGCGAAATAAAATTAGCAAAATCAGATGAACCCCAACTCCCACCAACAGAAACAGCAAACAGACTCAATGATTTCTTCTCCACTATAGGACAAAACCTTGCCAATAAAATCCCAAGCTCAGATACCCCACCAAATGACTACCTCACCGGCAACTACCCGAACACACTGTTCCTAGCTCCGACTAACCCATACGAAGTCTCCCTTATTATCAACACACTAAAAACAAGGCAGGAGATTTAAATACCTTACCACCCTTTATATACAAAAAAGTGTCACAAGTGCTATCACCAATCATTGCAACACTCTTTAACAAATCCATTGAATCCTCCACCTTCCCTACAGTACTCAAAATAGCAAGGGTCACCC